CCAACCCAACAATTATTATACATCATTTTAAAGAGAAAGCTTTGAGCTTTAATTTAAAATAAGTTTCATTCCTTAATTTCAATAAATACGGCTTACAGGAATTTTTAAATTAGCATCTTTTTAACATTTTTAGGTTATTCGAAAATGTAAGTTTTGTTTCAAAATTTTTTTTCTCTATATTTTTCCAATCCAACCCAACAATTATTATACATCATTTTAAAAAGAAAGCTTTGAGCTTTAATTTACAATAAGTCTCATTCTTTAATTTCAATAAATACGGCTTCCAGGAATTTTTAAATTAGCATCTTTTTTTAGGTTATACGAAAATGTTAGTTTTAACTCAATACTCTTTTTCTCAATATTTTTTTAATTCAACCCATCGATTGTTATAGATCGATTTAAACAGAAAGCTTCAAGCTTCAATTTAAAATAAGGTTTATTTCTTATTTTCAATAAACACGGTTTCCAGGAATTTTTGAATTAGCATTTTTTTTGACACTTAGACTATGCGAAAATAGGGGGATTGCATATTTTGCTAAAATTTTATTTCAAAGGCCTTTACTGAGTGTATTTTGATAGCGTTTTAATTCTGTCTGATTCTGTCACAAAGTTTCAAAATGTTTGACTTCTTGGGACACAAAGGGTTAAAGATGTTCAATGTTTTAAAAATTTAAGACCCAATTTTCAAGGCCTATAACTCCTCAGGGGTACAACTTAGTTTAGAGATTAAATCATCTTAATTTATTGTCATCATATATAGTCCCTGCTCTGTGTCGGTTCTTATGTAAATCACTCTGTATATACAAAAGAGAAACATGTAATATGCAGTTTACATTACTCAGATGACTCAGAACAATATTGAAATTCAATAATCAGTCTAACATAACAATGTTATAAAAATTGTAATTAAATCTATGTGTATAGTCTAGTCATTTATCAATATTGTTCCAGATAAAAAATTGATTGGATTATATCATAAATGATTTTTTTTTTTTTCATTTTACGATTAAATAAATAATAAAAATGATAAACCAGTTGATTAGTAGCAATATTAATTTCAAACTATTCGACGTGTTTTTATAAGCGGGTTCTTAATTATTTGGTAAAAACTTCGACCTTTATTTATATTTGAACCTGTTTTCGATCGAATTACGAGGACGAGTCGCTCAAATCTTTTATATCGCAAAGGTTAAAATGTGTTAACGTGTAAATTAATTTGAAACGTTAAAAGTTTTGCAAGCGTGCAAAAAAATGTGTACTTTGCACGATTAAATAGAAAGAAACGAATTAAAAACCAAGCCCAATCGTATCAAAGTGCTCTAAATACTCAACATTGAATCTAATAAATTTACATTGGACTTGAAACCTTCGGTTTTATAGGTTAGGTTATAATTTTCCTGGTTAAAGAAACGGGTTTAAGAAAATCAAAATAAACATGTTGGATTTCAAGATTAATCGCAAAATGCTTTATATGAAGCTACATTACTTTTTTTGGAACGCCGGTAATTATTAGATTTAATAAAAAAAGTTTGTTTAAAAATTTTGAGGTTATGTCTCTTGACATTTTAATACTTAAAAAAATTATTTAAATTAAAATATATTCTACATTTTCTTTAATTTTAACAGGAACAGCACCAATTGTACCTTTTTTATCAATATATGCAAGACAATTAGGTATTTCGAGTACTATCGTAGGTGTAATGTACACTGTGATGACAATCATGGGGATGTTAGCGAAGCCACTTTTTGGGGCAATTGCAGATCGTTATCGGTGTCAAAAAATGATTTTTCTAACTTTTATTTTGGTTACTGCAGCAGCTTTTCTTGCCACCTATCATTCACCTTCGATTGCTGTTGAAAGACCGATGCATTTAGCTTGTGATCAATCTTACGCATTCTTAGACACCTGCAATGCAAACAATACATGTACAGTTGAAGAATTATTACTTGAAGTTGGTGAAAATGGATCTATTCAATGTGATGTAAAGAGATATACCTTTTTAAAAAAATAATTTTTGGTTAAAACGATTTTTTTTGTAGATTAATTGTGAAATGAAACCGGAATATTATAAAACAGTCTGTGAAGGTTGGAAAGTGGATAAGTACTGTGGTGAACAAAGTGGAGATCATTTAGAATTTTCTGTAATCTTGCCAATAGAGCATTTCCAACATATGGGGAGCTGTTTATATTTTAAAATTCAACATGCCATATTTGACAATAAACAGTATTATCCAAATTGTGTTGATGCTGCACATCATATTTCAACAATGTGTGATGTGAAATGCAATGAGTTTCTTCTTAATGAAATTTTAAAGCAACCTACTGTTGAGAATAACGAATTTTATCATACTTACGAATTTTGGTTGGTATTTTTATTTATGATTATTGGTTGGGTTGGTCAAGCAATTGTTGTTAGTGTTACCGATGCTGTGTGTTTCGCTATGTTAGGTTAGTATAACAATCAAAACTCATATTCAATAACTTGAAATATCTTGATAACTTTTATTTTAGAGAATCAACCAAATAAATATGGTGTACAAAGATCGTTTGGAGCTTTAGGATGGGGAGTATTCTCGATAATATCCGGTTTTATGATTGATACCTCAAGTTCTGGAACGTCAAAATATTATTTACCAGTTTTCTATCTTGGGGCGTCACTTCTTATCGTCGATTTTATAATTTCATTGAATATTAAGGTAAATAAAACGAATCAACTAGTTTATTTTAATCTATATAATTATTTTTTAGTACACCCAAAAGGAAATGACAACTAGAATCTTTCATGATGTCGCACTTTTATTCAAAAACATACGAATAATAATTTTTGTACTATTTTGTATTTTCGTTGGAATGTGTACAGGTTTAATTTGGAACTTTTTCTTTTGGTTAATAGAGGATCTCGCGAAATCACAAGGTTGCAGCTATATGGAATGGATTAAAACACTTGAGGGTTTAATAATGGGTGTGCAATGCCTTCTTGGAGAATTACCATTTTTCTTTGTATCCGGTTCCATTTTAAAACGTATTGGTCACGTTCACGCAATGACTGTAATTTTATGTGTTATGGGAATTAGATTTGTCTTATATTCAGTAATAAGCAATCCTTGGTACTTTTTACCCATTGAATTATTAAATGGGGTTACTTACGGGTTATTTTACGCTGCTATGGCATCTTATGCTAGTATAGTAGCGCCACCTGGGACAGAAACCACAATGCAGGTAAAATTATGTTTATTTTAAAAGGTTTTTAATATACAAATTTGATTATTTTATGTTAGGGTTTATTTGGTGCTGTTTTCGAGGGCGTTGGAGTCTCATTAGGTAGTTTGCTTGGTGGTCAACTCTTGGAAGAAGTTGGGGGAGTATGGACGTTTAGGATTTTTGGAATATCATCGTTATCTTTATGTGTAGTGCATGCTGCACTTCAATTCATTATGAGGAAATCTCCGCAAGGTAAAGAGTAGATTTAGGGCAAAGGGATTATTTCTCATTAATTTGTTTTTAACTTTATGGTGAGAATATATTGTAAATAGTATGTGTTTGTATTAGCTTTAGATTTTGGTATTAAGAACGGTAGTTTATTTGGGTAGTTTGTACAGAGTTGTTTAGTACATATTTTTGTTGCAATTTTGTAGAAATAATAAAAGTTAATATTTTCTTTATCTTAAAAATAATGAAAAAATTTCTATAAATCGAAGCTTATAATGTTAACGTTTTATTGAAACATTTTTTTATGTATTTTATAATAACAAAAAAACTTATTACTTTTATCATATGGTAACTGTCAAATATGACATTTCAACATCAACTTACGACGTTTATCAAACATAAAGATTTTACATCAACTTAAACTTGACGTGGAAATGTTAATATCCATGTTTTAATTATTTAAATAATAAATTTAACCTTTCAATGACAAGCAACTGTCAAAGATGACGTTTCAGCATCNTTCAGATTAACGAAATACGTGTCTTTAGTTATTTGAGTTTTTTATGAAAACGCCAATGCTTTTTAAATACACTATCTTCTCAATATATTATATTGAACACCACATTCACATTCCATCGGTATTTTAAATCCTAATCCACGAACACTGGATTCATCAAAACTAATTTGTTTTTTACATATTTTACAGATAACCAATTCCGAAATTGAGGTAAATACATATAAAAATTCAATAATTCGGTAGCCATGAGTTAGGTTCATTACAATTTCTTCGTCTCTAGTTACCGCTAATTTCGCAGCTAAAAATTTTTGATCAAACAAATTCGATGTTGAACTTGTTTCTGAAGAAGGTTGCAACATGNAAATTTAACCTTTCAATGACAAGCAACTGTCAAAGATGACGTTTCAGCATCGACTTATCACGTTTACCAAACTTAAAGATTTTATATCAAGTTTAATTCGACTTGGAAATGTTAATTACGATGTTTTAATTATTTAAATAATTAATTTGACTTTTCAATGTCAAGTAACTGTCAAATATGACATTTCAACATCAACTTACGATTTTCACCAACCTTAAAGATTTTATATCAACTTTAATTCGACTTAGAAATGTTAATATCGATATTTTAATTATTTAAATAATAAATTTGACATTTCAACATCAACTTACGACGTTTATCAAACATAAAGATTCTACATCAACTTGAACTTGACGTGGAAATATTAATATCCATGTTTTAATTATTTAAATAATAAATTTGACCTTTTAATGACAAGTAACTGACAAATATGACGTTTCAGATCAACTTATCACGTTTACCAAACTTAAAGATTTTATATCAACTTTAATTCGACTTGGAAATGTTAATATCGATATTTTAATTATTTAAATAATAAATTTGACATTTCAACATCAACTTACGACGTTTATCAAACTTAAAGATTCTACATCAACTTGAACTTGACGTGGAAATATTAATATCCATGTTTTAATTATTTAAATAATAAATTTGACCTTTCAATGACAAGTAACTGTCAAAGATGACGTTTCAGTATCGACTTATCACGTTTACCAAACTTATACTTTCTACATAAATTTGAGACCGACTTGGAAATGTTAATATCGATGTTTTAATTATTTAAATAATTAATTTGACTTTTCATTGTCACGTAACTGTCAAATATGACGTTTCAACATCAACTTACGACGTTTACCAACCTTAAAGATTTTATATCAACTTTAATTCGACTTGGAAATGTTAATATCGATGTTTTAATTATTTAAATAATTAATTTGACTTTTCAATGTCAAGTAACTGTCAAATATGACATTTCAACATCAACTTACGACGTTTATCAACCTTAAAGATTTTATATCAACTTTAATTCGACTTAGAACTGTTAATATCGATGTTTTAATTATTTAAATAATAAATTTGACATTTCAACATCAACTTACGACGTTTATCAAACTTAAAGATTCTAAATTAACTTGAACTTGACGTGGAAATGTTAATATCCATATTTCAATTATTTAAATAATAAATTTGACCTTTCAATGACAAGCATCTGTCAAATATGACGTTTCAGCATCGACTTATCACGTTTACCAAACTTAAAGATTTTATATCAACTTTAATTCGACCTGGAAATGTTAATATCGATGTTTTAATTATTTAAATAATAAATTTGACATTTCAACATCAACTTACGACGTTTATCAAACTTAAAGATTCTGCATCAACTTGAACTTGACGTGGAAATGTTAATATCCATGTTTTAATTATTTAAATAATAAATTTTGACCTTTCAATGACAAGGAACTGTCAAATATGACGTTTCAGATCAACTTATCACGTTTACCAAACTTAAAGATTTTATATCAACTTTAATTCGACTTGGAAATGTTAATATCGATGTTTTAATTATTTAAATAATAAATTTGACGTTTCAACATCAACTTATGACGTTTCCCAAACTTATACTTTCTACATAAATTTGACCGACTTGGAAATGTTAATATCGATGTTTTAATTATTTAAATAATAAATTTGAATTTTCAATGTCAAGTAACTGTCAAATATGACGTTTGCCAAACATAAAGCTTCTAAAATTTAAAGAAATTAAATTTTGGTTGTTTTTCAAGTTTTAAACTAAACCCTGCAATAAAGTTAGCGTCATTAGATTAGATAATATGAATAATACAAAAAAAATATAGATTTCACTTTTTATTTTTTTTATTTCAGTAACTAGCGAACTTAAAAACTTTGATACTCCATAAATCGCGTAAGAAAATGAGGATATGTTGTTTTAAGGAATTGTATACATTTCTAATTATCTTAATTGTCTTTAAATTTACTTACCTTCGTTTTTTTTTTAATTATATGTTCGTTTGCTTATTGATGAAATTGTTTTTTGTATTTAATCGTTTTTATTTTATTATCTTAAATTTGTATTTTTAGATTCGGAGGTTCAATACGCAGCTCCTCTGGACGCCATCAACATTATAAATGGCCAATGGAAGTCTTGAAGGTGGTTTTTTTTAATATTTATTTTTATAATAAAATCGAATTTATTTTTAAAGAAATTGCTTTTGTATATATGTTATATATTAATTGTATCATGACAGTGTACAAAAATAATTTCTTTATTTATTATTATTAATATTTCTTAATGAGAGGTAGAAAGAACAACAAGAAAATTAATTTTTATTATTAACCTTACAAAATTAAACAATACTAAAGACGTACATTAAGAAAGATAAATTTGCACTTACCTTTATCATTATGTACATGTACTTCAACGTCTTGTCTACTTAAAAATGAATCGGTTATGTTAGACTATTTTATTGCTATATTTTAAAGTTGTTATCTTATCATCTAAGTTGTTAAAGTATAATTTATTAGCTCTCGATTTATTATGATCTTAACTTATAAAATGACAAAAGTGGAATTGTGATAATGATTATGTTGTCTAATCAGATTGTGATGGACGACTTTGATAATGTTTACAATAGGAAATAACAATGTGACAAAAAATTATTAAAATTCCTTATTAAAATTTTTGTTCACACTTTACTTGTATTAAATATATTGTTACTTATTGCCTTTTCAGTATTCACCGTTTTTTTCTGCTAAATCAACTACTTTTTTTGTAATTTAGGATCAAAATGTAAAGATTTTCATTGTTAAAAATGTTGATAAAATATGAAATTTTAATACTAATTTTTATTAATAACCTAACCGAAACCAGTTTTCCCAATTTTTTTTTTACTTAAAATAAAAATATATACTTACGTATTAACTCAAAATAATTAATTGTTATCTTTTCACAACAACTCTTACGTACTTAATGAGTATTCGAAGCATTAATAAGAACCAGTTTCGCAGTTTTACCACGTTTTACATTACTTCCAAGGTTTAAAAGCAATTATACAGTTGTTTTGTTCAAAAATAAAGGAATACAATAGAAAAATTTATATTAACATAGTACTGAATCTGTATTTTTTTTTATTTTGTTAACTAGTGTTAATTGAGAATGATTTCGTAAAGAGAAAGCATGTGCGTTTTTTGATTTGTAGTTTGCGAAAGAACTGTCAAGGTCAAATATGTATGTACATTTTTAATGAAAATAGAAAGCTTTAGGAAGTTTAATAATCTTTTTAATTACATGTTATCTACATAGCTAATACATCTTTAATCTTAAGTTTTTAATCTTAATAACACTAAAATATTGATATTTCTTTACTATTTTATGTATGTATGTAACCAAATATACACTTACATATTCAAGCGCCATCTTACGTATTTATTAAAAATACATTTTAAATGTTTCATTCGAAGTAGAAGCTATTTTTTGTGATTTGTATATATGTAAAAAGCAAGAAGCATTTTAATTTGATTACAAATTCATTTTAGAGCCGCATATATCAAAATGCTCTTACATTATAGAAAATTTGATGAATTTGACATTTATTTGTCAACTGTCAAACTGCTACTGTCAAAACTAAATAAATTATTTTCAAACTAAACTCACTAATTCCCTATCTAATATTGTTATTATTTATTTTGCCCCCTCATTTTATTTTATATAAACGCTGGCAATGAATGCTTTCATTGCAAATAGCCGAATGATTCAAATTTTTAAATCACCACTTTATACTTTGCTTTCGAATTGAGCAAATGACACGCTTAATTTAAAAAGCTTTGCGGCTTTTCCACCTTGATACCTATATAATTATCTATTTATAAAAAAATATTATTATATTATATAAACCTTTTAATACTTATTTTATTAAATAAATTATTATTTTTGAAATAGAACACATTGCGCATGTTCGTCACCTCCCCGGTTAAAACACCATTTGAATCAACAACTGAGTTACACATGTGTTCAAGTTCAACCTATCGCTAGTAGTCTAATTTTCACTAAACTCATTCGAGTTTATCTCTATATTCCAAGTGACCGTGTTAAGAGTTTATCAATATTTAAAAATGTCCGATTTGTTACAAAAAGTACGTTTCAAAAATTAAATAGTGACCGTTACATTGTAGGAGGCCTTCAATGTTGCATTAAATTAATATTTATATTATATTTCAATACGAATTTTTTTATAGTTTGTTACCGATGGATATGCGGTTATGGAAGGATTTCTTACAAACGAAGAAGTGGATGCTTTAAAACAAGAATCAGAAAAATTAATTGAATCGATGCCTGAAAAATCGCAAAGATCAACTTTTAGTTCTGCTGAATCAACACAGGTTTGACTGATCAAATTTATCACTATTTACTCTAAATTTATCTAAAATTCACAGAATAAAAATAAGTATTTTCTGGAAAGTGCGGATAAAATCAGTTATTTCTACGAAACGGGAGCTATCGGGAGCGATGGAGAACTTCTAGTTCCTGAAAACAAAGCTCTAAATAAAATCGGACATGCTCTTCACGAATTAAACGATGTTTTCAGAGCCATAACTTTAGATGTTCGAGTAAAGGAAACTTGTTTTCAATTGGGGTTTCAAGATCCTGTGATACCTCAAAGCATGTACATTTTTAAGAATCCAGGAATTGGCAGCGTTGGTGAGTTTTTTAGGAAACGCCTACATTTTTATTCGCGAATTTTTGGTAATGCATATATTTACTGGGTGACTCAGCGGAAAGGTTTCAGTTTAGAAAGGTTGGCGTTCAGTTGAATGAAAAATTAAAAATAGATTGCGTTTGGTGTGGTGTTTTAAATGGTTCAAGATGTTTGCCCAAAAATTGTTGGCTTCTTTTAATCAATTGTTATGAAAAATTATCTATTTTCTATTAATAGATTTATAAAAATTTTTTTATTAGTTATTCCCCATCAAGATGCTTCATATCTTTACACAGAACCAACGAAAATAATCGGTTTTTGGATAGCCCTTGACGATGCAACCGTAGAAAATGGATGTTTACGTTTTATAAAAGGTTCTCATAAAAGCGGTGTACACAGAAGGTATTTAAGAAATCCGGATGAATCATCAGAAGATTTTTTGATTTACGATAAACCAGCGCCGTTTTACCAAATGAGTTCTTTCATTCCAGTCCCAGTACCAAAAGGTATCCTCTTTATAATTTATGAAATAATTTTAAAACTAAATATTTTATGAATTAATTTTCTTATAGGGTCTTGCATTTTGATTGATGGTCAGGTGGTTCATTTTAGCGAAGCAAATCGATCGGGAAAGTCGCGACATGCTTATACTTTCCATGTTATCGAAAATCAGAACACGAAATATTCTAAGGAAAATTGGTTACAATATCCTGAAGATAAATCTTTTATGCAATTGTATAAAAATTAATTGTTAATACTAATTAAAAGTAAACGTTTTTATTCAATTAATTTGAATTATTTTTTTGAAGTTGACGTTTTAATATAATCGTGGCTCCATCTATCATTTATAATCTTCTATTAGTAAATTTTACTAACATTCAATCATAGAAAATAGCTTCGTAGAAATGCTACTCTAAACAAAAACTTCGTATTAAAAACATCGACGTATCATATATATAACTCATATCAAATATATAACTTTTATGTCGATGACTAAAAATTGAACGCATGTGGCGCCATCTGTTGGGTATATTTTGGAATTATTCAGCTAAAAACCGAACCACTAGAATACAGGTTGGATTGGGTTTATATATAAAAGCTCCAACCACAGAATAACTGTTTGGAGCCACTATATGGCTTCAATTAACGTTCCGATTTGTTGGGAATTCCTCAGATGTTCAGATTTATTATTATTATTGTTATTTGAATATCACTGCATCATTTGTGAGATTGCATCTGACGAGCTTCCAAGCAGTTATAGCGTTAGCTGAAACAAAGCTATAATGTCAATTATAATCTAATTATTTAATCATACCATTATTACTTTATTATACTCTTACCGAAAAATCACTTTAAAATGACGTTTTCATCTGTCATTCTGAACAAACTTCAACTTTTAAAATTTTAACACAAATAACACGAATTGGAATCTATACTTTTTAAATTAAAAGAATAATACTGGTAATAATTGTTATTGCTGTCTCTCATCATTCCCACTATTAATAATAAAATTGTTAGTTTAATTAAATTATTTCAGTATAGACGCTAGTGCCATCTTACGGTAAGATTTCGACATACAATCAGTCCCAAGTTCTCCTATCAAAGATCCCTGGGGCTGCATCCAATAGATGTCGCAACAAAATCGTTTTCTAAATACAATTTGAGGTTAGGAAAGCGTCTTGTTTTACATCTTTAATTATTATTCAGTTGATAAATAATAACCCAAAATGGCCAATGGGCCTATAGCTGAACGAAATAGAGGTATAACAAAATAAATTTAGCGTTATTTTAAGTAAATAATTTCTTAACCTCTCATTTTAGATGCTACAATCTATGTTGGTGGTTTAGATGATAAAGTGACTGAATCTTTGATGTGGGAATTATTCGTACAAGCAGGGCCTTTAGGTATATATTAAATAAATTGGTTTAATAAATTTGATGTAATTTCATTTTAGTTAATGTGCATATGCCTAAAGATCGTGTTACAATGATGCATCAAGGATATGGCTTTGTTGAGTTTATGGGGGAAGAAGATGCTGATTATGCCATAAAAATAATGAATATGATTAAGTTATATGGCAAACCGATTCGGGTGAATAAGGCCTCGGCACATCAAAAAAACTTGGATGTCGGGGCCAATATATTTATAGGAAATTTAGATCCAGAGGTTGATGAAAAATTACTTTATGATACATTCTCGGCTTTTGGGGTTATTTTACAGACACCCAAAGTAATTTATCAATTATGTTTAAATTAATTCTTACAATAAATTTAATTTCCTTCTTTTTATTTTTAGATAATGAGAGATCCTGAAACAGGAAACTCAAAAGGTTTTGCATTTATAAACTTTGCAAGTTTTGAGGCATCAGATGCGTCGATTGAAGCTATGAATGGCCAATATTTATGTAATCGGCCAATTTCTGTATCATATGCTTTTAAAAAGGACGCAAAAGGAGAACGGCATGGCTCAGCAGCTGAACGACTTTTAGCTGCTCAAAATCCTTTATCTCAAGCAGATCGGCCCCATCAACTTTTTGCGGATGCTCCTCCTATGGGAATGATGCCCCCTGGAATGGCTATGGCGCCTCCGCCACCACCTGTTATGCTAGCTGGGATGATGCCGCCCCCTCCTCCAACTCCAGCAAATATGCAACCGCCACCACCACCTCCTGTTCCACCACCAACAGCTTTTCCAGCAGGAATTCCCCCACCTCCTCTACCCCCAGTCCAACCTCCACTTCCTCCAGGTGCCCCTCCCGCGCCACCAACTTCCAATACTCAACCCCCATTACCCCCCATGCCATCTTCTGGACAACCTGGAAGTGGTGCTCCTCCTTTACCCCCAAAAATGTTACCTCCATGGCAAGCAGGTACTGGATTATCTTTAGCTCCAGGTCCCCCAACGGGTGTACCACCATTTCAAGGGGGATTACCACCACCACCACCTCCAGGGCGCCCACCACCACCTAATTGGAGACCACCCCCACCAAATTTTGCAGGGGCTAGACCTCCATTTCCACCAAGAGGTCCACCTCCACCACCACCAAGTAATATGGAGGGCATAACAAATTTTACTGAGAATAATTGGTGAATTAAAATAATTAAATGTTGGATTAATTTTGAATTGATTTTGTAATAAAAGTAACTAACTATAACTTTTAAATCATCTCTTCTGGTTTATTAGTCAAAAGTTATAATTAAAGAATATGAAAAATCCTTTGAAACAACTCCAAAAAAACCCATTCATTCATTTCAACTTAACCATTTTTTTTATTTGACGTAAAAAAAAATTTATTATTTATCCAAACAAGATAAGATAAAGAAACCAACAAAACGTGTTTAAGGCATACTTTTAAGAGTTGACGCATCTTGATGAATCACTCCTACCATTATTCGTTGTTGTGCGGTACTCAGTCTCAAACGCGGCGAAGTTCCACCAGACATCAGTCCAGCGGTGGATTTCGTTGAGGAGAAGTTGCGCGCGTTCGTTTTACTTCGGGTTTAAATCTTTTTACCGTTCAAGTATCGCATCTTACGAAAAAACATTCGAGAGAGACTTTCACCACGGATTCGGTGCGCATCAGAACAAAATTAAAAAAAACTGGAAAAGAAGACGAAGCGAAAAAGAAGGTGTAAAGTTCTTCTTCATCTCTTCTCTTCTTTATATCACGTAAGTTGGGAGATTTAAGTAAGGTTTAAAATTAACCTGTTGCCGCGTTACGAATCAGAGCGTTTTGCCCTAGTTCTTTCCATCTCGAAACAACTTCAAAACGGTTCGGATTTAATTAATAAAATTCGTAGGCGAGTAAATTACAAATTTAAATTTAATTGGAAATGTGAAGTTGTCATTTAACACAACCTATTAAATGGGATTGTTGAAATAGGCGTAATTAACTCGGATAGATAAAGAATTGTTTGTAAAAAAAATGTATTGTTTTTGATTTATGCTGGTGTTTGTCGTGATTGTGTCGATAACATATATAGAAAACGCGAGTTTAATGGTTTATGACCTTGATTGTTCTTGTGCAATAACAAATTAACATGTTTGTTTGGTAAATACACGCAATGTTGACCACCGTTAGATAATTATAAATGAATGATTTATATTGTGGTCATATAAAAAAAAAGATATTGATATATAAAGCAAATTTAAATAAAGAAAAATTATTAACTTTAATTTTCTCTAAATACAAAGTAAAGGAATGGATGTGATGAAGATGTTCAAGGGTGTCAGGACATTGTTGAATAATATTAGGGTTGAGCCTAAAATATATCAGGGACGATTTTGAAACACACCCCAAAGAATACTGACAAATGTCGGAGGAGACAAAATCATAAATTTTCAAACTCGTGCAAAGAAAATACAAAATTCAATTTAAATGAATTCCCATTGTGTAGTTATTGCAACAAGGTGATTAAGGCTTCGATTTTGAAACAATTTCAATTCAATTACTTCACTTGATTTTACTTGATATATCACTTAAACAAATTGTGTTATGTTATAACTTTGTGTTCATTTCAACATTGAAATTTTTTAAATGGTTGAACATTTTCTTTTTATGTTAAGATCAAAACAAACTCACCGGATTTAAATTGCTGCTTTGGTTTATAGATTGCTCAATCGATTTGATGTTAAACAGATACATATCTGGATCTAGTTTAAAAGATTACAAACGAAGAATTTGTTTGCGTTTAAATTTATTATCGGGTGTTGTCAAAACATGAGAAGTAAAAACCAGATATGTTTAATCAATTTGATTAAATTAGAAATTTTAAATTTATTAATGCAAAAACAAAAACGCAAAGTGGAATTGATGACAATGAACGTTAAATGGGATGTCCACCTGATGCTTGTGGAGAAAGTCGATTGACTCGGTGACCTTCGAAAAAAAATTTATTCATTGCCAATGTAAAATTTCTTTTGAAAGTTTCTTGTTATTTATTAAATTTAAACAAATTTGTAAGAAAAATAATCATAAAGTACACAATTTTTGAGTTATCAATTTAAAGAATTTCGAAACACCCGGAAATACCTAAAACGTGATTCACAAAACTAATTTTAACAACCGATACACAAATACATCCCCATTTCCTAACAAAACTCGTCCCACTCACGTAATCCAATACGAAAATAAACCCCGGACGATCACAAAAGCCTTTGAAGATAATTTTTTTTATAATAACAACATTCAAAATTATTTATAAATTTGTAACACTGTATAAACAATTTCTAATCTTTTCAAAATGACAAGTTTTTATGCGGAGCGAGTTTGATGACTAAAAAAAGAAGAAAAAAGAGTTTAGACTGCTGGAAACATATAAACTATGGTGAATGGCTTGTGTTAGAGATTTCTCTCTATTTTTGTACAGTGTGGAGACAGTGAAGCGCGTTCCTTTTCTGAATTCACTTTCGGTCTAATGGGATAGTCGTAAAATTCTCGCTAAATATAGGACAATTACATTAACGCTTTCGCTTAATATTATTAATTATTAAAAAATTTGATCATTTTACAAAATTAATTTTGAATGTATAACCACCAGAAATGACACTGACGTCGATTCGTTTGATGTTGGCGGCATCTCGTTTTGTGACCTCGATTTAAAATCCGCCATCTTATCACGAGTTACCAAAATGCACAGAATCAAGGTTTGTTGAGTAAACATACTGTACGTTTATCCAACTCCCTATGAACGTATCCGTCTTTAAAGACGTGCGATTCTAGTTCTAGGTATAGTGTTACTTTTAGTGATAGAACTAGTGTAAAACTAGAACTAATACTATACTTAGAACTAGAATCATTCGGGTTTAGCCGTCTTTAGAGACGTGCGGCTAAACCCAAATGATTCTAGTTCTAGGTATAGTGTTAGTTCTAGTTTTACACTAGCACTGTTACTTTGGGTTTAGCCGTCTTTAGAGACGTGCGGCTAAACCCAAATGATTCTAGTTCTAGGTATAGTGTTAATTCTACATAGTAACAGTGCTAGTGTAAAACTAAACTGACCGGCAAAAAAAACCGGCCACTATAAGTTAGCCAAAACTTCAAAGCTGGCTTTCTCGCGAACCGCGCATTCGATTTTGATGATTGTTTCTTTGGTCGAAAGGTTGATTCTTCGGTAATAATCCTGCGATAGAAACTTTCATTTAGATTTTAATTTGGACATATACGGACTGCAAGAATGAGAAAAACTTCTTTTTCTCGAAATTTGTAATACTCTGCGGGGTGCAACTGCTACAGCAGATGGTGTTAACTGGAATCAAACGGTAGGCTAATCTTTTCTGAACATCTTGTTTTTTTATTCACTCTATTATCTCTATTACTAACGAAGATGCAGTGTTTTAAACCGAACGCCTGTAAAAACAAGATAAACAAGCATAAAAAAATCTAAGGTGGCGCGCTAGATAGCATGTCATTTGTTTCGAATAGTAAATTGACAGTTGTTAAAGATTTTTACAGTCTTTTAACATAATAGCAATCCCGTTGTCAGTAACTGATGTTGCGTGTATTGTTACTTTAATTGAGGATGGCAAAAGTCAGCAATACGTTGCCCGTACGTTGGGTATACCCCGAACAACAGTTCAGGATGCCTGGAACCAATATGTGGAAACAGGAAATTTCACTAGGCGGCAATGTTTCGGTAGAAGACGAGTGACAACAGCAGTTGATGGCCGATTTATTGTTCTAAACACTCTGAGGAATCGTAGAACGACAGCTATAGAAACTCGGGATTGTCTTCAAATGGTGCGTGGGGTTGACGTAAGTGAAAGAACTATTCATCAAAGACTTGATGAAGGTGATCTGACTGCAAGAAGACCTGCCAAAAGACCTCGACTGCTCCAGAGACATTGGCGAGCACGTCTTCAATTTGGGCGCGTACATATGAATTAAGGAATGGAACAATGGGGTAAGGTGCTCTTCACTGACGAGTCCCGATTTTCTCTCATGGTCGAGAATGAGTGTGGAGACGTCGTAATGAAAGGTTTGCGACCTGCACAATTTCGGAAAGAGTACCTTTCCATGGAGGTTCTATTCCCATTTTCTTGGTGACGGATTCATGCTAATGCATGACAATGCGCGACGCACGTAGCACGTGTGGTTAACGAATATCTTGATGAAGTAGGGTTTTGAACGGATAGAGTGGCTAGCGTGCAGCTCGGACCTTAACCCTGTAGAATATCTTTGGGACCAACTTTAGAGACGCATTCGTCGTCGTCCTGTCCTACCGAACACCCTTCAAGAGTTACGAATTGCTTTTGAAAAAGAGCTTGCCGCAATTCCTCAGGAATCAGTTACTAACCTAATTAGTACGATGCCGCATCGACTACATGAGGTTATTTTAGCTCGTGGGTGGCACACACACTATTAATTTTCGTGTTATTATTAATTGTTACATTAAATTAAGTTTGTTTTCTTGTTTATTTGTCAACAGATGTTTACAATAATGAAGGACGTACGCAATTCTGTAATTCTAAGAAAATGTAAGTGCTTCAGCAAAACTGTTTCGGGTGCCCAGTTTTTGTTTTCAAGGTCAGTGATTTAAGACGCCACTTTTAACAAAGATTAAAAATCTGTATAGGTTTCATTGTAAATTCCCGATCACACCATCACAGAACCACCATCGAAATATTCGCGTTTCATAATTGTATAGTCCACAAATCTTTCATTTCAACGTCTTCATATTCGCTCATCGACCATCGGGTGATAGACAAAACCACTACTCATCCGTAAAAAGGACTTTCCTCCATTGCTCGATCTCCCAATTTACATGTAAGCGCGCAGATATCTTGAAAGCAGCCTCGGTCCTTTGGCAGTCTTCTTGCAGCGAGACCACATCTAGCAAGTTTTCAGAGAATGGTTCTCTCACTGACATCAACAACATACACCATTTGAAGACGACACCGAGCTTCTACAGCTGTCGTACTACGATTGCTTAGAACAATAAAACGGTCATCAGCTACTATTGTAACTCGTCTTGTTTTCACAGGCGATCGCTTTAAAATACTGCATCTTCGTTAGTAACAGAGATAATAGAGTGAATAAAAAAACAAAATGCTCAGAAAAGATTGGGCTACCGTTTGATTCCAGTTAACACCCTCTGCTGTAGCAGCTGCACCCCACAGGGTATTACAAATTTCGAGAAAAAAAGGTTTTCTC